AGAGTGCGGAGGCTCAAGGAATAGGGACAAAGAACGCTGAGGGAGGACGGATCCTTGACCTAGCCACAGCCCACGACTTAGCAATCTGCAGCACCTTCTTCGCGAAAAGGAGGACCAAAAGGTAACCTACAGCAGTGGAGGGAGACAAACGGAAATCGACCATGTCCTGGTCAGAAGATCGAGTCTTCGTCAAACCGTCTCAAGGATATCAAGGGACTGCGGGGAAAGCTGGGCCCTCAGCCACAGACCTCTCCTGGCAGACATCGCCATAGACCTCCCCAAGAAGACGAGGGTGAGAGCAGAGCGGAGAATTCGGTGGTGGAAAATGGGCAGGGTAGAAAAGGATAGCCTTGGCCGAAGATACTGGGGCTGTTGCCTCCCGACACCACATGGGCCAGTCCAGGACACCTGGACCTACGCGGCAGAGGTCATCCTAGTGTGCAAGGGAGGTCCTGGGAGAGACGCGAGGTGGTATCAGAGGAGACAAGGCAGCCTGGTTCTGGAACGAGGAAGTCCAGAGGATCGTCAAGCAGAAGAAGGAAGCCTACAAACGCTGGCAAAAGACACGGCGCCCAGACGACTACGCTGCCTACAAAAGCTGCAAGCGATCGCCAAGGCAGCCGTAGCTAAGGCCAAGAATACGGAAATGGGCGCCCTGTTCGACAAGCTGGAAGGCCAAGAAGGGGAAGTCGTTTCTGCCTGGGTGGCTAAAGCTCGGCATCGCGCTGCTCAGGAGATCACGGTCGTGAAGACTGTGAAGAGTAGCAACGGGGCCATTCTCAGGAAACCAGCCGAAGTCAGGAAGAGGTGGGAAGAATACTTCGAGGGACTTCTGAACGAAGAATTCCCTCGCAAGGATAGCCCACAGATAGAGGCGACGGCAGGTCCCATCACTCCCTGGACGAAGGATGAAGTCCGCCGGGAGCTAGGGAGAATGAAAGCTGGGAAAGCAGTGGGTCCAGACGGGGTACCGATAGAGGCATGGAAGGCCCTTGGAGAGCATGGGGTGAGTTGGCTCACGCACTTCCTAAACAACAACAGCTGAAGAAGGTGCCGGACTGGTTGGAGGAGCAGCACAATCGCTCCATCCTCAAACAGAAAATGGACGCGACGGAGTTCCAACTTACCGCGGGAATGAAGTGACTTCCCCATACCATGAAGCTGTACGAGCGCTGGTCAACACTAGGCTGAGGGAGCTTGTCCCTATCTCGCAGGAACAGTTCGGCTTCATGCCCGAGAGGTCCACCACCGATGCCATCTTCATCGCCAGACAGCTGATGGAGAAGTACCGAGAGAAGCGGCGACCCTGCTACCTAGCCTTCCTGGACCTTGAGAAGGCATTCGACCGCCTGCCAAGGCCTGTACTCTGGAGAGCGCTCAGAGAACGTAACGTTCCGGAAACACGCTCATCTTCCAATAGGTGAAAGACATGTCAGGAGTGGGGCAAGCAGGCTGTATACGCACCACTCACGCTTGACAACAGGAGGAAATATGAGAGCGACTTGCGGTACACAAGGGTCAGCCCCTCAGTCCGTACTCTTCCTCGGCCCTGACATCGGATGTCATGGCAAAAGAAACTCTTGGAGGGACTACTGAAAACCATCTTCTACGCTGATCATGACATCGCCCTGATAGCGGACAGCAGGGAAGAACTCCAGGACAAGGTGCAGCGGTGGCAGGATGTACTCGCGCTGAGAGAACTGGAGACGTAAAGAAGACCAAGTTCCTAAGCTCCGAAGAGTGCGCCGAACTCACTGTAGACCGTCACGGCGAGAGCATCGAAAGGGGAGGACTTCCAGCACCTGGGGAGCAACCTAGCAGCTGATGGCAGCGTGGACAGGCGGTGACGCCCGAATCAACGCAGCCTGGATGAGTCACTGGAATCGTGGTGCGACCGGTGGTGCTCGAGAACGCTCGGTAAGGTGTACCGGGCGGTGGTAAGGCCTACAATGCTCTACGGCCGTGAGTGCTGGCCAATCTGCAAAAGACCCATGAAAAAGCTGCCACTCATAGTCAAGCTGAAATGAAGGATACTGAGATGGGCCTGCGGTTGGACAACGACTCGACAGAAACGAGGACGTCAGGCGGACCGCTCATATCCAGCTGAAGGCACGAGAGCAGCGACTGCGATGGTACGGTCATGTACTGAGGAGGCCTGAAGACCACCCAATAAGGAAGGCATTGGAACTCGAGGTAGAGGGCAAGCGACCACGAGGAGCCCCAAAGAAAAGATGGAGGGACGTCATCAAGAGGGACCTCACTGAAGTGAAAGCCACAGCAGAAGATGCAGTGGATCGGAACAAGTGGCGACGTCTAATAAGAACAGCGGACCCTGCGACGGCGCGGGACTAACGCTAGGGAGAAGAAGAAGTAGAAGACTGTTTTTCACCACAGTTATTAAGTAAAATGCTCGGCGCTACTCCGCTACGGTGGAGCAGTCTGGTGCAGGATACCCATGGCATTTCGAGCCGCTACGAAACAGTTCTTTCATTGCAAACTTTTGAACAAGCAACTGGTACACAGTTCAGCTTAGTGGGGGGATTATGCAGTTACCATCGATAACGCCTGTGCTTCCTGGTACCTGATAAATCCTGCGAAGGTGTGCAGTAACAGAAACTTCATCTACACTCGAGTCTTGGCAAGTTGAGACTCGTGATTCAAAGTGAGCTAGCAAAGAAACCTCGAACACGCCCGTAAAAGGTGATTTTTTCGGCATCCTTGCCTGGAGCGCCCACACTAAACTATTACCTGCACATAGTAGACCTCCACCCAAAAGAGCTTCGCCTCCTTGCGCGAACATAAAATCGTTTTTGGTCACTTCAGATTTGCCTTGACATCCAATCCACGTTTTAGCCAACTTCAAGGAGAGCAAGCCTCGTGGGCATGTGGAATTTATCAACACTGCGTTGAAGTATTTGAAGGAGTATGGAATTCATAAGGATCTCGATGTATACAAAGCTTTACTTAATATTTTCCCGAAAGGAAAAATGATTCCGCAAAATACTTTCCAGGTGAAGAAATTTAATTCTCATTTGTTGTTTTTCAACGTCTCTAAAACCGTTCGTTCCAGAGAATCTTTTTGCATTATCCAATGCAGCAGAACTGTTGCGTTAAAGTTTTGGATGAGATGGAATGGCATGGTTAGTAGGGTTTTAATATTTTAAGTATTTTTGCTGACTATTTTACCCGAGTTTCGTAGCAATAACTTGTAGTCCTGTCGTCGTGAGGAATACAGTAGTCCAGGACTTGACTTTAAAAAGTTAGCATCCCTGGTTTTCCCACCTGTCGGGGTCCTGGTTCTGAGGGACTGTGGAAAGTTTCAGCATTCGGCTCTCCTTGGAGAGTCGTCTTGCTCCACGCTATGTGCATGCAAAATCCACTTTTAGGATGTAGATCACATGAAACTTAGTCCATTCATATCGTCTTTGATGAGAAGTCTCAGGGTATGGTGAAGAAAAAAGGTCACCGCCGAAATAGGGTTACATTACACCGTTGCTGCCATTCAACCTTTAGCGTTGGAGCGTGGTCGATCACTGTTGCGCGGTTCTGAATTGCGAGTGTTGTGGCCACAGCGATTGCGACTCGGTGACGGCGAATCAGCTGATTTCCATGGAATTCGGCTGCGAATTCCCACTTTTCCTCTTCGAGCTTCGAAAGTGGAAGGTGAGTTATTTTGAGCAATTTTAAATTGTACTGACTCTGAATGAATCTGAAAGAATGCAAGCCATTTGAATAAATGCCTGAAATAAGGCAAAATACAAGGAAAAGAGCATATAATCGACATAAAAATAAAGGAAATCAGAGCCAGTACAATTCAAAATTGTTCAGAATAACTCACCTTCCACTTTAGAAGCTTGAAGAGCTGAAAAAGTAGGAATTTGCAGCGAATTCCGTCACCGAGCCGCTGTCGCGTCACAGTGCAGCGCGGCTGTGCCGCCGCGACAGTCCGTAAGGATGAGGTCTGTCT